TTATACATTATTTGTTTTCTGTATAGATTTAATAAACAGTACGTACTTGTTTGACTATGGGAAAAAAAAAAAAAAAATAATTTATATTATAGAATGTTATAATTTTATTGTTGAATATTTTTTAACTAGAAATATTTTTTTGTCAAATGATTTTATTGTCAAATGTTATATTTTTTTTAAGGGCCAAATGGCATAAATTGAATCAAACAACAAAACTTCTATATAAACTTTTATTAATAAATTTGAATTTAATTAGTTGTAATTTGGTAGCCAAATAATTCAATTTGAACTAGTGTAATATATAAAAATTTAGAAAAAAGTTTTTTTGAACTATTATAAAACAATTATATTTTAAAAAAATTTTATTAAGATACTTTATAAACAAAAAGTTTTTAAAAGACCTAAAAAAAAATAAATATTAAATTTTGTATAAAACAAATAAGTTTTTATAATATATTAAATAAAAATATGGATTTTTTTATAGTTTAAAAATATTTTTATATTAAATTTTTATTATATTTAAAAAATTTTTTGAAAAAATTTTATTAAGATATTTTATAAGATAGACTTAAACAAATTTGTTTTTTAGATTATAAACAAGTAGTTTATAAAATTTTATCTAAATCAAATAAATTTTCATTGTATAATAAACTAAAACAGTTTTTAAAATATATTTTTTTATAAAAATTTAAAAAATTGTATTGTTTTTATAATAACTCATATATAAAACTTTGGCAAATTTGTTTTATCAATATTTGTTAACTTATATTAAATATAAATTTTAGGTATAAAAACAATAAAAAATTTTAAAAATGTTTTTAAGTAATCTTAAACTATAGATTTAATGATTTGATTTGATTTGATTTAATTTAATTAATAATTACAAAAAGAAATTATTTAAAATCCTGTGGGTCTATAGCACAGTGATTAGTGCTCCACAGGTCAAATCACAAGATACCAGTTCAACTTTATGTGAAGGCAGTTGAATAGAATTAATATGGTATCTGGTGCCGTAACCTGAAATGCGTTGTTTCTCATAGGAAGCCAGTTCACACGCTGATCCAGCGGGCATTGAGATTGTGACCTCCACATAAGGTGCAGTGGTGCGACGATCGTCCGGTTGGTGCTACGATGATCGTTGGCTTAAAAGGGCACAACACGTTTGGATGTATAGACTGGGCTGTACTCCATTCTAATCAATTCCGATTGACAATAAAGTTCCTCCTCTTCCGTAATCGGTTCTAGCCTAATTAGGTAAAGAAGACTCAGGGGTATCTCGAGCCAGTTCCGTTAACACACCCTGTCCAAACACAAGCATGAACCAATAGATTAGGTGGTTTAAAACTAGTGGTAGGATTTCCACACCCTAGATAGGTTCCTCCCAAAAAACATGATCCACTTCAAGAGTGCATATCGTGTCGCTGGGTTTAATATAGGTGGCGGAGCTGGGTTAACTTAAATGGACCTTTGTAGCTTAATGTAGATTGGATATAACATCTCAATTAATAAATCATGTGCTGCATGCACCATTTACCTTAAAAAAAAAAAAAAAAAAAGAAATTATTTAAAATCAATATTTTTATTTAAAAAAATTTTTGTATTTCAATATTATTTGTTTTTAATTTAAATTAATGCTAAAAAAATTTTAATATTTTTTCAATATCTATTTTTTAAAAATTACAATATTTATAAAGGGTTCAATAATTTTTTTTTAAAAAATTTTTTTTATAATATAAATTTTTTTTTTTTACGTGAATAAAAAATTTTCAAATAAATAAATATATACTAAAATTACTTGACTTAATTTAAAAATCATTGTAATTACAAATTTGACTCACGTTTAAAAATGCGAAATTACTAGTATTTTTTTTTTCAGGTTTGTATAATTTATCTGTATAAATATACTGTATATGCAATATATCAAAAAAATTTTTTAATTTTTTTTTTTGGAATCATGCATAGCACGGTTGTCCCATGTACAATATCCAATTTAAAGTATTAAAAAACGTTTCATCAAAAAATAAGATGAACAAGTCAGGTCAAGGGATAACTGTAACATTAATTCCCTATGCAGTTCATCAGAGAAGTCTGAAATAACAGATGAAGTCAACGTAAAAGGGGTGGTGTTTTATAAAACAATTGAATAGCAATGAAAGCCTATAAATAAAGTGGAAGTTATGATCTATAGTACAAATAAAATAAACATTACCTCACGCAATTTTTGAAGGGAAAAATGTAACAAGAGGAAAAGAAAAAGTTACAAGAAAAAAGTCCGGCTTCGCTAAAAATTAAAAGTTTACGATATATATTACAAAGGAAAAAAAAAGAATTTCCTCTGTTAACTCCCTTCCGTCAGCCGTTTACCCCAGCAATATGTGTATATATTTATAAAAATTTCCCAGCTACCTAACTTTTGTACAAAATATTAAGTCTTAATTGGTTGGTAATCTCGCCGGGGGAGAACATCTCAACCCACACGAGAATTGTTCCATTAAATAATTGACGAAAAATGAATCGAGTTTTTATTAGAACCATAGGACGTTCTCCCGCGTCCCACCCTGAAAATTAAACCAGGTCAATGTTTTAGAGTTCTTCGTCGAAAAAACGCCCCTTTTTTTTCTTACTGTCCATGTTCGAACACTTTGGAAAATAGGAATCATGTGTTGACCTGACATCTTTCGATGCCAGGTTCCGAGATTTAAACATATTTTCACCAGTGACTACCGCTGAAAAGCTTTGTCTACGAGGATAGAACTTGGTGGATCTCTTAGAAGAAGTCGGAACTTCAAGGTCATCCGCAAATTTCACATGATGAATCGACGTTGGATACGAAATTCTGACATCATCATGCTTAATGTCATTAGAGTTTGGTGACACCGGGGAGGGGGTGGTGGAACCTTCCGTCGATGATGAAGTGTTCACAATGTTCAAAGAGTCCACAGGCTTTTTCGACCTAGTGTTTGAATCTCTTGACCGAGAACCATGAGAGGGCAACGCAGAATCAGCACCTGGGGGAGAATTTTCACACGCCTGCTGCTTGTTTTGACCAAGGTTCAAACTACCTTTTTGATCATTATGAAGTTTATGTGGTGTGCTCGGGATGCCATTTTTGTTACCACCGAAATTTTGTTGCGGACCAAAATTTCGGGGTGGCAATTGGCCAAGAGGCGGAGGTCGGTGTCGTTCGTGTCCTGATTTAGCGTTTGATTTTCCACCGCTGCTGTATGTATTCGATCTTTCTCGTCTACCATTAGACCATGGTTTAGGAGGAGAATTATTCGTCAGTGGAGATTGAGATATATTGTTGGGGGGGCTAACGGGTCCACTAGAGAATGTATACGACCGTTCTCTGATATGCGTTTTAGAACGTTCGCGATCTTTATTACTTTCGCGACCAGTATAAAACCTAGCATCCTGAGTCGAATACCGTGCATCTTGTGGCGAATACCTGGAATCCTTGGGTGGATATGTTCCGGCACCTTCCTTATCATCCCGTTGAGTCTGGTTGGAATTATTAATAGGTATGGGCGAAGAATCTCTGGTAACACAGCGAGTATTGTTTGGGTGAATTTTTCTTCCTTGCGCTGTAACCAATTGAGCGTCTTGCATATGAGCCATTGCCCTTTTTACGGCAGATGATGGGGCTGAGTTGCTACGAGCTGAATCACGAAGATTGGGCGTACTTCGTTTTAAAAACTTTGATGCCAAAGCATTAGTATTACGTATATTCGGAATACTCCTTCTAGGACCCAGCGGAATGTTTTCATCGATGCCAGCGCTGTGCGGGTGCATTTGTTCAAATTTGCCATTCGGTGATGCCACATCACTTGTATCCTGGATGTCATCCGGTGGGATTGCGATCGACAAAGGAGACGGGATGGAAGGTCTCCTGCTTTGTTGGTCTCTCCACTCGCGACTCGCTTTTGTGGTCAGTGAATGTATTCGACCTTCAGGATAATCATAGTTACCATCAGCCCCATTTCGAAAAGTGAGCGATCTATTCTTGTCGAGCCATGATATCTTCGATTTCCCGTTACCATATGCAGACACCTCAGGCGCCAATACATTTTCTTCGTTACCATGATTTACCCACCCGTCGTTTTCACCGAGACCCCCATCAAAGCCCTTGAATTGGTCGTCGACATTGTCTATCCAAAAGGCTGACTCGTTGACCGGAGTTGATGGTACAGAATTAACTTCTTGACTATCGACATTATCACCATTCCACGAATGTCCATTTCTCCAGGCATTCTCAAGTTGGTAAGCCACCTGGTCCCACTGTGCAGCCGAATCCTTGACAGTATTCCAAGAGATTTTTGCGGAAGGACGTCTGGTGTATAAAGATGATCTTCGCGCAATTTCTGGACGCTTACCACGTTTTTCATAATCGCGGCTGTTAGGGTGACTACCATTGTCAGCTTGACCTGGATCGCGATAGGGTAATGAGTATGTTCGTGATGGCGATAGCATCCCAGATCTCTGAGAGTTATTCCTCGATGTGGTCAAAGAGTTAGAACGCTCATTGGAACCAAAACCGGAAGCTTCATCTTTCTTAGCTTTCCATGGGGAGTTCCTGCTTCGTTTGTGAAACGGAGAGGAAGGAGGAGATCCAAGAATTACGTCTTCGTCGTAGTCAAATGCACAGCGTGGAGGCTTTATTGTCAGCGGAGATTGTAATCTGTGATTGAGATACCGTGGAGACGTGGGCCTGTCATCATCCAACCATTGAGGTTCCTGAGTCACCAGCTCGGCTTCTGGACCTTTTCCCACCGTGGCACTAATAAGAACGCAACGGTGAGTAATTAAATTTGACAGGTTTAAAAAAATCCGTGGTCTACAAAAAATACAAAATACATACACCAATAATTCTCGTAGATAATTGTAATCTGGCTCTTGATCGAATCCCAAATTTCTAGTGTATTGAAGGTAGGTCATGAAACCTCGAGGTAATCCATTGTACAACTCATCGAGAGGTATTTCCTCTTTCAATTTCTGCATCTTGGCCCATCCTTGTCGTGAGTTACGTGCGGTGACTCCTGCCCATGGAAGATCCCCGCGTAACAGTTCAAGCAAGACATAGCCCAAAGATTCCATGTCATCGCGGCGAGCATGTGCTATAAAAAACATGAATACAGGTAAATAACTAGTACAATTCGTAATATGACTAGTGCAGCAAGGTTAATTGCTTACGTAAACCACGGTGAACGCCAAGTGCAGCATATCGAGCTGTGCCGGTCTTGTTTTTTATCGGCGCCATATTTTTACTAATATGTTTTCCTGTTTCTGGATTTATGTAATATGTCGAAAGTCCTAAGGTAACATGTAATAATAATAATATATTATTATTATAAAATGTCCCCGAGCGGCGAAGTTTACGTATTGAATACCAACCGAAATCCACCAAATTCATGTGATGTTTTCTTCCAACAAGTAATTTGTGATCACGAATCTTTGCTTCAGGAGTCTCATCATCAGAATCATAAACAGCAAGTTTACTGATTTGCAGTGGGAAATCTCTTTCCAGAAGGAAATTGTCAGGTTTCATGTCTCGATATACAATACCCTGTTTATGCACATACTCTAAAATTGTAACCTAAAAAGAAGAAAGAAATCCAACCATGTTATCAGCCGTCAAGGTAAAATAAAATCAAGAAATTGAAACGGAAAAAATATCACGCATACCATTTGCTGAGCTATGTCGCTCACGAAAATTATAGGAAGCGACCTGTACGCTTGCCGGAGAGATCTAAGATTCGGTCCGAGTAAATCAATGACCAAAGCATGGTATATACCTTCTTCTCCAAACCAATGTACTTTTGGTATGAAGCCTAATAAAGAGAAATATAGATATATTGTTCATAAGGTACTTTAAAAAAAATCACAGGTCAAAAACTTATCTCCATTAATCCAATACTTACGCGCTCCTTCAAGTAATTTGAGCGTTTTAGCTTCATGAGGTAGCTGGGGATGGTCTATATTGATCAATTCTCGCTTTATTGCGAATTTCTCTTTTGTAGTTGTATGCACAGCTATAAATATAGAGCGAGGAGCAAGAATTAAACTTCTTGACAATAACAGAATTTGATATTGAAAGGAATTTAAAATGAAAAAAGTGCCAACACCGCCTCGAACGAACGGAACCAAAAATACAAATGTCAACGTCTCAACGTGAAGATGTAAAAGTTGACTTCTAAACTATATTATTATTATTATTACCCAGTAGGAGTTGCCGAAATTTAATTTAATCCCAAGTGGTTTCACAATATTTTTTTTTTTTTTTTTTTTTTTTTTTATGTGGTAATGTTTCCAAGCAAAGAAAAAGTCTAGACGGAGAGTGCCATAGGAAATTCTCCGGGAGGAGATTTTAAATGCAGAGAGGCAACGGTTCCACGTAGCACTAAGTGAACGGGGTGAGAAAAATTTTGAAAAAAGAAACCTACCTCGAAAGACCTCACCGAAGGATCCCTCTCCGATTTTTTCTTCGACCAACCAATTTCCACCCACGACAACCTCGCCTCCCATTATTTATGGGTAGAATATTGAAAAAGATGCGTGAGCAAACCGCAAGTAGGCGGATATTGGTCTTTCAAATTAAAATCTTTGAGAGCTCGTATGGAGAAAGTCTATCGAGCTCAAATTATATGTGATGGCAGGAAAAGGAAGGAATCAAGACAAAGAGTTTGTTGATAGAACACAGGTTTACTTAGTTTTGGTGATATAAAAAAAAAAAAAAATAGAGGTTGATGTCGTGTGTGGAGTGAAGAAGAAACTCAAGCACACGGAGAACTTGTGCTTTTTGTGTTTGAAAGTCAACACAGTAACTGAAAAGAGCTTGAGTTAGACACAACACACACCGGGTCTGCACTTCCGTTTCCAAGTCTGGTCAGTATTTAAAAAAGAGTGGGAAAAAAAGATGAACAGGACGAAAAACGACAACAGAATGTATGCGGCAGGGGTAGTGACAATGTGACATTTGGTGAAACTATCCAATAAGAGATAAGACCGGTCGTTGTGTTTTTGAAATTTCGAGGCGTGGAAATACAAATAATACTTATAGGAGATGAGTTGCAATATTTATAGAAAGGGATTCGGGTTATTTTTTTTCTTTTTGATGTACTGTATATCTATTACGTATCTACAATATACGCAATACACGCAATATACATACATACGTTGATGCACACACAAGTACGTACGAAAAAAATTTTTTTTTTTTTTTTACATGCACACACATTTTTCTACTCTATACACCAATGGTCAGAATAGGAAAAATTATATTGATCAACGACACACCATACTTAATATAAGGAAAAGGATGTTCTTGAAACGCAAGTGTAAATTTTGTCATAAATAAAAAAATTATTAAACGAGGGTCAGATCACACAATTTTATGTTCTGATAATAGTAGTCCAAAAAATTCAAAGAATCAATCGTATGGTATATGCATATAATATGATCGAAAATAGAAATTGTAGTACAGGAGGTAAGAAGTTGATGATAATTGAATTACGTATATTTCATGTACACTGGAGGTTTTTTAACCATCCCCTTCAAATTTATTGGACTTCGCTAAATAAGCATAAATTTTTCAATGCGACACTGCTTAAAAAAGAACTATTATTTATGTTACATAAGTAGTGCGATATGTCATCTTCGAACTCTCCACTTTGATTGTGCTGTCGTTGAGTCTTCACGTATATCACCGATACCGATGATGGGTGATGTCCAACCGGGTACGTGCATGCGCACGTCAGAACACTTCAATTGACCGGTTGCAAGAATTGTTTGGTCTTCCTTACTTCCAACTTCCGCCAAAGGAATATGTTATTCCGATTCACAAAAAGGAATTGGAAGAAATTTTGGAATAATAGAATGATGATGGATTTGTAACTAATGCGGCCAAAACGGAAACTTGTGATGTAAAACTAAAAGACGCGAATCAAATACGGCTAGAAATGGAAACTATAAAGTCCACCTGGTAACATTTTTATAGCCCGAATTTCCGTTCTTGGTTTATCAACGTCAACATATATATTTTTGATCGACCAATAATCTCTTTCGAACAAAATTGTTCTTGGTGGAATAGAATAGATGGAATGTGAAGTCGCGCGAAATTAATTGAACACAATTATGTTACGTGAAATAAAAAATAAAATAAAATAATTAAATGATTCAAGGAAAAATGCACGCCACAAAGATTGCCGTTTGCCACATGCGTATAATGTGCTTCAGCGTGATGGTAATCGTTCATCCTGCATAAAATTGACCACAAAGTATTCTTCTTGTGACTTGCAAAGTAATCGCTTATACATAGGGATTTGTGAAGGGAACATCCCCCGTTAATGTAATGTAAGATGAACTTCTGGTGCTTTTCTCCTTCTGGTTTCTATCCGGTTCCTTGCTATTTCGGTAATCATTTACTCATGACAACGGAAAAACCGACCGCTGTCGCAATCAGCGAAAAGTAACACTGGGATCACGAAAATAACTTGATTTCGATAGGTGGATGCTCCTGCACAATAAATACCCTCATTTTGCGGAGATCACAAATGATGCGTGGTACTTTCCACTCCAATTTCTTCAACGACAGATTTTTCTCGGTCTTCCAGATTTGGGAAATCATAAACAATTCTTTTACATCTCTGTGTCGATGTATCAATACAATCGATATACCAATTACAAAATAAGATTGCATCGGGCGATCAACAATTTTAGTTTGTAGACACAATGATACCCTTGTGGCTGGAATTTGATCGTTATCATGTTTGTTTTTTTCATGCAAGAACATGGGTTTATCTGTTGTTTCTATTCGATTGGTCGACCTGTTCTAATCGTGAACTCGCCGGATCTCTCATCCATTGTTTGGAATACGTATACAAAGAAAAAATTGTCCATCCTTTTAATCTTAGCATTTGAAATTATCATTTTCATAATGAATATATTTTTAATAGTTCATGCAATAAATTTAATAAATAAAAAACAATTATGCCAATTAATTATTTCATTGTTACATCAGATGTAAAATTATGAATTAAATTTTAATTTACTTACAAAGAAGATTATAATTTTGGAATTTTTAAATAATAAATAAGTTATCTGCATTAATAAAACATCTTGTTTTTTTATTTAATATTAATTATATAGAAAGATTTATACATTTTTGATCAAGTATTTGTGCTATATTGTTTTAAGAATAGTTTAATGATCAAGTGAATTAATGCAATAGACTTATTTGTAAACACATACCACAACTACTTATCAAATATTCAGCATGAACATTATAATGTAACAACTGGTGTTTTTTTTTTTTAACACAGTAAAAGAATAAAAATAGATTTATACAATATACTTTTCAAGGTTGGTGTCCCACACGTTTAAAGTACTGGGAAAAGAACAACTTGAATTTACACAAGAAAATACACAATTTGCTTACAAAAAACCCTTACTAATCATCCGTTAACGATGACACCCCCGATTCTAAAAGGCTTACAGCTTGCATTAAAAGTCCGAGTTTAGAACCCGCTATATGATCGATTCGATACCCCTCCGGCAATGACGTATCACTTTCTCTTGGAGGCTCTATTGTATCATCGGCTGTTGGAGGTTCGCTTGATTGATTGCAAAATGATTGTTGTCCATAAGTAATCGAACTCATGGTCTCTCCAACTGGTGTCATGTTTGATGTGGAAAACGAATATATAAAACTTGGATCGTAGTTACCGCTATCCGTGACTTCTCTTGTATTATCGAATTTAATATTTGTCATACAACCGGCTCCCGAAATGTTCCCGTTTTCATCGAGTCCCACTTCACCCGAAGGATTGTATCTCTTTTTGTCAAAATGTTTTGTTCGAACAAAATTATCTTCCATTCTTTCGCTGCCATGAGTTTCCACGGTAATATTGTTGTTCAACGGATTGTTAAGTGTTCCTTCAAAATTATTAGAATTCACCGAATTTATAATAACATTTCTCCCAAGATAATTGTCCTCGGTGCGAATTCTTTTTAAATCCAGATTGGAATCTGGAACATCGTTAAGGATATCTTCAAGGCAATGCTGTCTCTTTACACCTAAAGTTATCGGATGAGGATCTGTGATTTCCGGGTTCATTGAGCTGTCCATCTGATGCGTCTCTCGGGTCTGCGAAACGATTAAGTTATTATTAACAACATTGACCGTTGAATGATGTGAATTCGTTATCTCCGTCATGCCCATCTCTGTATCTTGCAAGTCTTCACAATACTGATAACATTTTCCTTCGATCATACGCTGTTGTAAAACTTCTTGTTCCTTTTTCTCCGCTAATCTCTTCGCACTTTGTTCCCTTTCATTAAATATTATTTGCCAAACTTTCCGTGCTTCTTCCTCTTCCTGTAAATGTTGTGCCTTTTTATCTTGCGATTGTTGAATCTCCTCTCCGCGAGAATAATGTGTCATCTGTCCCGCCTGTAATTGTTGAATTCTGTGTTCCGTCATCTCTTGAAATGGTCCGACTCTTTGGTCAACTTTCTCTTGCAACTTCCAGGCATTTTGCTCTGTCTCTTCTTGCAATTTTCGAATCCTAAATTCCTCTTCACGATGTTTTCGAATCCTTTCCTCTTCAAGTTTTTCAATCCTAGCTTTTTCTTGTAATGCAGCGGCTTCCTCCTCAAGTCGCTTTTGCTCAGCATTCCATAACAATACCTTCTTGTAATCTTCTTGCCAGGGATGGCCTGGATTGTACTTGAAGTTTTCCGCTAGTATTTCCAAATAATCTCCTTCATCGAGATCAGAACACTCTTCCCACAATTTAATTGCTTCGCCATCTTGAATACTTTTATCTACCCACCAAATATCTTCACGAAGGTGTTTTGATCTCTCCCGATCTTCTTCTATTCTTTTCAAAATATCTGTTCTTGGTATTTTCAACCTCGGAGGATAGGTCTTTTCACTCTTCCACTCCAACAAACTCTTTTCTGCATTTTCAATAATGGAAATATCCATCACGAGTTTATCCTTCCATGTTTTTAAAACCTTTAGGGTATTTACTAGGTTGAAACACCCATCGTCTCTTTCGCAAACAAAATCTATCACAATCTTCTGCAAATCACGTTGTATGTAGTCGATATACTTGTTGAATTCTATTTTTTTGGATTTGGTGCATAGACAGTCCAGGAAATAAAAAAGATTCATTCGAGAAGCAATTGTCGCCTTTTGCATTACTTCTATAATGCAGCGATATAAATCTTCATAGTACTTATGGTGACGGAGTGCGAATGTTGTACACGATTGAATGGTTTGTTGACTGGAGTTCACCTTCTTTAGTATTGAGATAAAGTATAGACGGGCATCAAAAGGATCTATGTCACCTGAGGTATTAGAAGACTGAGACATTTGTCCTAGAAAAATTGAAAGAAGTCGCGAGGAATGTCTCACGAATAAACAACTGACAAAGTACGATAGGCGCGAAATTTTCAGTGTTACCCCATCCAGATAGGTATTCTATTTTTATATTACTTGTCATTATCATGATTTCTTATTAAGTTATCATTAAAACTTAACGTTAATTACGGTTTGAAAAATTATCTAATTTAAAAAATATACTACATAATAATATTAATCATTTAATCATTTACGCATAAATTCATAAATATATTAAAATTTGTAACATAAACATATATTTATTAAAAATTTAAAAAAATCATTTATTAAAATCATAATTTATTTTTTGGTAATATTTAAATAATATTGTTAACATTATATTTTATTTTAATTTATTAAATTAATTTATATATGTATTTTTTAAAAATTTAAAATTTATAATTAAGCTAATAAAGCTAATACTAGAAATGTTAAACAGTTTAAAATAATTAATTTGATTTTTGAACTAAATAAATGAAACCTAACTAAAAGTTTAATTAATTTAAATTATATAATTATAAATTAAATAAAATTATACTTTGACTTTTTATTAATAAACATTATATAAACTAAAATTAATGTGATAAATATAAAAAATATAAGTTTTACAAATATAGAATTTTTATATTTATTTAATATATTTTCTTTTAAATAAACTATTTAATTTTTTTTTATTTTTTATATTTTTATCAAATAATTTTATTACAAGTAAGACTTAAATCAAAATATTATATTTTGATTATTTAAAAAAATAAAATGAAAAGTAACTTTTTAATTAAAAATTATTAAATATAATAAAAAAAAATGTCTTACAATTTAATATATAATATATAATATATAAATTTTATTTTTTATATTAGATTTATTGGTGTTTTTATATATGTTATAATCAAATATCTGAATTCAAACCAATATTTAATTGAATTATATAAAAATAAAATCTTTAATTCTTCTAACAATTAAAAACTAAAACAAGTTAAAGCAAGAAAAATTGTATAAAAAATATTTCTAATTTAATTCCAATACTAAATCTATTATTTTATTAATAAATTTAATTAAATAAAGATTTTTGAAAAACTTATGTTTTATTAAAGATCTTCAAAACAAAGATTTATTATATTAACTTCAAAATTTTTTAAGTTTATTTGTTATTTTAAATTATATTTCAGATTTAAAAATATTTATATAACAATAAATAATATAATAATCAATTTTATAGATATTTAAAATATTTTATTAAATTTTATTATATTAATATATAAAATTATAATTTATTAATTATCTTAAATTTTTATCTTAAAATATACTAAAAATTATTAAAACTTTTTAAAAATATTTTTTAAAATAAATATAATTATCATATTATCTATATTTATTATTAAAAGTCTTTAAATTATTTTAATATTTTATTTATTATTAAAACCATTATTATTATTATTTTGTATTTTTTTAAAAAAATATATTAAAGTTAAAAAAATTTTTTAACTATTTTATATTAAATTCAAATTTATCTTGTTTTTTAATATTTTAGATTTCATAAAAAATTTTTTAATATAAATTATATTATTTTTAAAATTGAAAATTATATATATTATCAGAAAATTTTTTGAATAAAGATCTTCAAAGATCTTTGGATGTAAACCTCTAAAGGATCTCTATTATCATTAAAAGACTTTGAAACAAAAATTTATATATTAATCTTTAGAGATCTTCAATATATTTTAATAGTAATAAAATATATAATGTAAAACAAAATAATTAAAATTATATTTTTTATTATAGTTTAATAAATAATTATTAAATTTAAATAAAAATTTCAAAATATTTTTTAATAATTTTTTAATGATATAATTAATAAGATATTTAAGTTTTAAAACTTATTTTATTTTTTTCTACTTTGTTTTTAATTAATATTTCATTTATTGAAATATTTTCTTTATTCAAATCAAGAACTGTTTAATATACTGTAATAGCAAATGCTACTTGTTTATCAGAAGTATTTTCTTTTGATTAGACTTTTTTGAGAATATAAATTATTATACTTTATAACTCTTTTCTTGAACAGTTATAAGGATTTTTAAAGCATTCAGCAGTCTTTTAAGATTGTTTCCAAGTTAAAATTCTAACAGGTGTTACATTTGTATTTATTGTATCCAAATATTCTTTACCAAACATTGAAAATATAACATTATAAACTTTCAAAGCTATAATCCTTTGAAGTAATGGATATTATTTTACAAGCTTTCAAAGCAATAAATTATTAAATAACTAAAGAATTAAAGTTATTAATATTTATAAGAATTATTACTTGATAAATATGTTTTTTATAATATATTTTTCAATATTTTCTTATAAGGCCTTTATAAAATTCTAAATGTTTTTATTAAAAAAACTTTATAATTATTTAGTAAAAATTTTTAATCTTTAGGTATATTTTTTCAAAAAATATTTGTTTCACAATACTCTTAATCACAATTATTTAAATAAAATATAAATTTCTGAAAACCTTCAAAGAGATTTAAAATAAATCTTAACTTAATGAAATCATATTCAATAATTAAGTGCATCAGAAAATTTTTGAAAAAAATTTTGAAAATCTTTAAAATAATAATAATTATATTAAAATTAATAAAAATTTATTACTTTTATTAAATTTTGAAATTATATAAATTAAATTATCATTATAAGAATTTTTATTAAAAGAATGATTATTTTCAAGAGAATTTAAATCCTTTATGAAACTCTAAAAATAAATAACTATTAATTAATAAATAAAATATTAAAAATAAAATATTATAAAAATATCATTGAAATACTCTGCATATCTTTAATATTATTTGAAATGATAGAAAATTTTGACTTATTTAAATTTTCATTAGACTCGTTACTAGAGTCTATTGTTAAAATACATTTGCTAATATATCTTATATAAGAGGAATGTCTTGAAAATTTTAATTTATAAGTTATAATAATTATATCAATAAAATGATTTTATTTTTATATAATGACTTAATAATTTATATTTATAAAATAATTTTTAAAAGATAATGAAGAAAAGTTTATAGTTATAAAAAAAACTTTTTTTCACTTCTCCTTCTGCACTTAAAAATTTTCTTTTTAGAAAATTTTTAAATTGTTTACTTTTTTTTTATTTTTCTCTTCCTTTTCTTTTTATTTCTTCTTTTCCATATCTCTTTATTTCTTCTTCTTTATCTTCTTTTATCTCTTTTATATACTTTTTTTTTTTTATACTTTATATTCTTTACTTTCTCTTTTCCCTTTTTTTCTTGCTAAAATTAGGTTTTCCTTTTTTTCTTTAAATTTTTTCTTTCTAACTCTCTCTTTTTTGAAAACTCTGTTTCCATAATATCATTTCTCTAGCCAGTTGGCTTTCTTCTTTTAAAAACCATATTAAGAAACAATAATCTTTTTTAGGATATAAACTTCAGAAAATTTTTTCTTTTATAGTCTCTTAAAAAAAAAATAGATACTTACCCTTTCTAAAAGTCAATATAGTCAATATTACTAAACTCAGTATTATTTACTAATTAACAGTTAGATTAGATATATTCAAGAAATCTCTATATAACTATTATTACTTGAAAGTACTTAAGTAATTATATCTCACAGTATTTAAAATAAAATAGTAGCCAATGCCAATACAACTAGCAATAAACTAGATTGGTTGCAAGTGTTATACTGATAATTAAAAAATTTAGTAGAGTAATATGTAATAATCAAAGATTCTAGTTATTATTGCAAATGAGCTAATAATAATAACAAAAAGTTTCTTGCTTATCTTTTAAACAATATAGATCCATTGTACAAGGTTAAATTCTGACATTATTAAGAAAATCATATAAACTCCATCCATAGAACACTTCTTTATACTTGAAGCATAAGTATATCAAATCCTTTTTGTAACTTAAAGGCAAACCTGTATAAAGTGGCTACAGTATCTTCATGCAAAAAAATATTTACTTTTTATCACCTTCAATACTATTCTGCTTGTTATATATAAAGTCATATTTGGAAAATAAACATGTCAATTCTAATTATAATTTGAAGGCCAACTTGTATAGATTGGTTACAGTGCCTTCATATAATTAGGTATTTATTTATTTCTAAGTGGCTAAACACCATTCAAGGTAATAATATAGATTTTGAAATTTCTGTTTTTCTATATTTCTTGAATAGTGTCAAAAGAGCACAAAGGTTGGACCTCTTTTGAGAATCTTGTGTTAAACTTTTTCTAACAAGAAAGATATATATCATATTATTAATATTATATCTTGTTTTGCAAATAAAGGTATTGTTAGTGTATAAAAAGGTGATAGAAAATAATAAGGAAAAAGGTATAGTAAGTATATCAAGTATATCAAGTATA